CTTTCTTTCTTTCTTTCTTTCTTTCTTTCTTTCTTTCTTTCTTTCTTCTTTCTTTCGTCTTATAGTCTTGTTGAAAACTAGACATTTAATATAATATGGCAACTCTGGAAATCCGTTTCTCCCTGCTCTCCAAGGTTTGTTGTTGTTTAGTGACTTTTCTCAACAAATTCTATAAAGTCTGTGTTCTTTGTTGTATGTTGACACTGAAGTCTCTGTTGATTAGCTTAGTGATCAGCTAATGATCAAACAAAGATTACCTTAAATGCCTGGAACCAGTAAATCTCCCAGTCTTTCATGAGGGGCTCCATGTGCATGTTGGGGCATGCCTTTAACAATCAGCTACGAAGTTAAAAACTCTGCCATAGCCTTCACTTTTTGCTTGGGCAAAAGCCTTAGGTCAGTCAGAGGTGAATGCTTAGGACCATTTTGTGTCTTTCTTGAGGATACTCACAGCCTTAGACACGCACACAGCACATGTGCATGGCCTAGAGCCTCAGGAATGTGTCAGAGCTTTTCAAAACTCCTATGGACAGCTAATTTACCAGCTTTTCCTTTAAGCTTTTTGGCTACTCTGTGATTTGCCCCAAATGTTATCCACTACCTCAGGCAGCCAAGCAGTTGAAACAGTTGTAATTGTTTTTGCCAAAATCCCCTTAGAGGAGGACTTTTTGCATTAGGAGAACTCCAAGTTAGTCAAATACAGATAGCTTTGCAAGAGAGGATTTCCAGGTAACCAGAAGACAGTTCAAATAATGACAGTTCTTTGGGAATGAGGCTTTGAAAGAGCTCTACCTCTATTTTCCCTTTGGTGGCTGCATTGCAGGTTGGGTTTTATTTTCAAGGTTGCCATGGAGCTGGACAGTGAATGATGGAACAATGCCGCAAGCCTGCTATTCATACTGAGATTCAGTTGTTCTTAAAAATAAGTGTTTCCTGAGCTGCAGTAAGCTTTTAATTTCCAGAGTCTGAAAAAGACAGTTTTTCTGTCCGATTTTTCATTGCTTTTATAGAGGAAGGAATTTTCAGAGGTCTTATGCCACTAGTTTTGTTGATAAGTCCCCTGCTGTTTGTGACTTCACCCAGGGTTTAGCCAGAGCAACAAGGAATAACCCTTCATAGTTAAAATGATTTCCTCATTTAATTGAACCAACTTTGCTGAGTGTGAATACCTTAAGATAATAGAAACCCGATTTATAACAGACATCCTATTCATATTGCTGTTTGAAATCCTTTTGTCTTAGACATAAAATCTGATAATATTCTGAAGTCAGTGAACCTACATCTGACTCCTGTTAAATGACTACAGCTATATATTATTCTGTTGTGCTGCTACAACATAAAGTCTAACCAGTCTTCCATGATTGAAGATATATGAGTATTTTTAGATATATGAGTATTTTTAAGATATTAGCCTCCCCGTATTACTGTCCTTTTATTTAATTGAAGTCCCAGATTGACTTTTGATTAATAGTCAAACCTTAAAAGGTTCTCTGAGAGAACAAAACTTGAAAAGGTGAGACTGAGAGTAAATGGTGTAGAGTAGTACTTGGACACTCATATTTCTACTGGTCCTAAAATATATCTGAACATGGAATGGAATTCAGAACTCCATGATAAGGAGTTGGTGTCCAGGGTGTTGATGTCACACAGCCTCTGGCCTGACAGGCGTAGAAGTTGGAGCTGGACAGTGGCTGTACATTTTGGTAGCTCTCATGGAGACCATGCATCTAAAAGCAAGCTCTTCAGACTTACATCTTAATTACTCCTAACAGGGATAATTAGAATTTTCTTTCTCAAATTAAAAGTTTGAGAAATTCCTGATAAGATGTACTATTCCCTGAAGTTTATATTAATTACAATTTTTTTTTACTGCCGGCCTTCATCAAGCATGGACGACTTAGACACTAGTAAGTATGTTTTGGCAGTGGATTGTTTTTCAATCCTTGCTCACTTCTCCCGGTTTCAGGGCGTGAGATCAAACGAATTGCTTATTCCACAAAATCTGGATTTCCTGGGAGGATTGAGGAGGAAAAATGGCAGTTGTCAGTGGGAGAATAGAAGACTTTTCCTGAAACACGTATCATTTACAAAATAGATTTGTATATTCTCAGCACCGTTGAACATAACATTTTTAAAAAGTTGTCCCCTCAATCATCCCCATAGGAGATTGTTAAGCCTGAGGTAGAGTGAGGAGTTAATTCTGATTCTGAAAGTGAATGTATTTCAGGATGCCCAGGTATTCAGGAGGAAAACCATTTATTTTAGTGAGACCTGTTTTGTTACTTACAGCTGCACATTACTGCCTTTGAAAGGAAGTAAAAGATTCTCCTGCTTCTTTCTCTCTGGGTTTTGCATTTCAGTCTCGTCTCATTCATAAATAAACCCTTTCCCCCTCTCTGGGCCAGTTTAGGGTCCTGTGCCTTCCTGGGAAGATTCGTTTGTATTTTACACGCACAAGGAGCTGTGGTTTGGGATTCAGTTCCTTTTCCACTAGAGGAAGCTGTTGAGGTGGCAAGGTGGCTGGGTGGGGAGGGGAGCCCATTCATTGCCTGCACTTCTCTGCCTAGATAAAGCTCAGTCTTCTAAAGTCAACACGATAATTACGTTCTGCATTGGTGGCAGTATCCTGGTGGCCATTCTTGTGCTGATGGGTGTTGTCATCTGTCTTTACTACAAAATATCCGACGCAATGAAGTGAGTGATGTGGGTAAGGGTGAAAAATACCCCCTCAAATAGGATACCTGGGGCTCTCTGCTTGAGCAAGGTCATTCCTTGCCCTGTGCCTGCACCCAGAGTGAGGTCAGGAACAGCAGGTAGGTTTGAAAAGATAAAAGCAGGTGAGTGTAGAATCTTGTTTTTTTCCCCTTCTGGCTTAGGGCTGTGAGCTCATGAGTAGAATGTTCTCAGCTGGGTGGCTCCGTGCTGCTTTGCTCCACTTACCCTCCCAGAGTGGACCCCCAGCTGGTTTACTCAGCACACTGGCTGGGCCCTCCCTCCGTCCCAAGCACTGCAGTCCGTGGGGGAGGCTGTGAATGAGTCTGTGCCTCGGATTCACTCAGAGGACAGGCTGACTGGATCTCCTCTTAGCTGAGTTGGGGAGCTCTCACGGTGTTCTCTCATTCACTGTGCATGGCCTTGGGGACAGGGAGGCGGACCTGTGGGACTGTGGGGAAGCTGAGCTGTGTGAAGATCCTGGGGGACACCTGACAAGGGAGTATAGACAAAAGATAATTAACTTAGGGGGAGAGGAACCTTCAAATCTGGGAGAGATGGGTCGTTAGAAGCAGTGCTGTTCCCATGCTAGGGAAGTTAAGCCTGGGAGCTAGAAGATGAATCCCAGAATGTTGGGGGGACAGCCAAGTGCGGCCCCTTCCCGGTCACGCTCTGCACTTGGATGGGCCTGCAGCGATCAGCTGGGTGATCCACACTTGCAGTTTGCTCTCCCTTGTTTGCTGTGACCTGATTCTACATTTCTAGCATCCTAGGAGAGGAAGCGATTAGACGGGAGCTTGGGACAGGGGCAGAGAGCTCTAGTTTCGGGCTACTGTTATGTATTTGATTGGCTCTAGGCCTAAACTTCACAGATACCCCTGATAATTGTGACCAGTGGACTGAGAAGAAAAATTCTAATCCCATGCTTTGTGTATGTCTTTTCTTAAGACCTTCAAAGGCACCTCTTTGTTTGGCCTTAAAGAGTAATCCAGCCATGCTCACTCAGGACAAGGTCGCCGCGGCTGCAGCCCTCACCACTGGGTCCTATCCCAACGTCCAGTGCTGTGACGAATGTAGCTTGTATGCTGACTATGACCGCCTGCCACCGTGCTTCTGTGACGTAAATGAGGGACTCTGACTTGGGTGGGCACAAATATCTTCATGCGCAGTATTTCTTTTTGTAGAATTATTATTCAAGCCAAGTTTTATAGTGTTTACACGCTCTATTATAGAACATATTTATGTACTTCTGAATAAATGCAGTACTGAAAATAATCTTCTGCCTCCAGTGTTTGTTGATGTTAGTTATAAATGCACTTAAATTTGTGTACTAGTCACTTTGGGACTTGGGGCATCTATCTTGTAATATTATATTGCAATATGGGGAGAGTTAGAGTAGAAAATAAAAGCATCCAGTACATCTCCAACCCCAGAAGAAGAATATGTATTGATCTTGGAGCATTTCCAGTTTCAGACTCATCAAAAATTCCCAAGCTGGATGAGTTCATTTGGCTCTTCTTGTGAGGGCTTCATTCACTGGCCTCTAGCTACTCTACTGCAGACAATTATGTCACACTGTCCTGAAGGTGAACTCCTGTCATCTTAGAGCGAGAACAGACAAATGGGACATCTCTGGGTTTAACGTGTGACCTTAGATGATGGGGTTGAACCCGATGGTGTCTAAAAGATATTTTGAAAAACCTGAGATTCTTCCTTCTGCCCTTCTTCAAGTCTTCAGAAGCAGACTTCCTCCTCTTTAGATCATTTTAACATGGATTTTGCTGATTCAGCGGCCAGTGCCTTTAAGTGCTAACAGGAATCTCCAGCTGAAAGCCAAAGCCCAGGATTCTCTTGATCTGAGCAGTAGGCAGTAGGATGTACTTCTCTCCACTTCTGCTCATCAGCCCCCTTCTGTTTCTGCTCTTTCTACTGAGCCTTCTGGACCCCCTTCTATTCACAGACTCCCCATCTGCGACCACAGTTTGTCTTGTTAACAAAACCCTTGCTTTGTGAGCATCGCATGTTGTACTTAATAGAAAGAGTTAACTCGTAACAGGTGCTTAGCCACTAGAAGGGGAGGAAAAGGACAACAGGAATGAATGAAGGAAACAGCTTTTACCTCCAGGCTGTGGGGAGTGGAGAGCGATGCAATAAGCAGTTTCAGTTCTCTCAGCAGAGGGCTTGGCCGATGAGGGCATTTTTAGCACTTGAGTGGTGGAGAAATTTGCCAGAAGGAGTGTGGGAGCTGGAGCTGCTCTCACAGAGCAGCCCTTGGAACGGCCGAGAAAATCCATGGGGGCAGCGGAGTGCCCTCCAGCCCCAGCATGAGTTTCAGGAGGCAAATTCAAGGCTGCATCTTCCCCGGATCCTGCCCTGAGACCTTCCACCTGGAAGTGACCTGTCCCTCTTGAGTTCCTGAAGCATTTTGTCTGCCTCTCTGCCATCCCCTCCTCTGGCCTGGTCTTCGGTGTTCACGTGCGCTTCGATTTTCTCCTTGCCAGCGAGCTCCCATTTCCCTCTGGCCCTCACCCAGTGGGCAGCACGGTGCCCAGGACCCTGGAGGCCCTGTGCAAGCAAGTCCTGTACGGGAATTTCACGGGGACTATGCCTGAAGTTCAGGCATCCCAGGGTCCATGAAGGGGGGCAGGATGGGGCAAGGGCTCTTAGAGACATCCCTCTCATAGGCAGTAGGGACGGTGTGTAACATGGCTTTCAGAGCCAGATAAACTCGGTTCCAATCCAGCTCTGCTTTTCATTAGCTATGTGCCGTTGGGGGGAGTTTCTTAACCTCTCTGAGCCTCATTTTTCTTGATGTAAGCTGGGGGCTTGCATAGGTGATGGTGAGGATTAAGCAAGATAAAGTATACTGGCCGCACAGGCCCTGGCATCCTGTGATCTCATGGTAAGTTGTCACTGGCCTGAACTGCTTGTCTCCTGATTTCTAACCCAGGGTTCTTTGCCCTCTGTTAACCCCCCTCCCAGGAGAGTTATCACGGAGCTCTTACACCAGTGGTGGTGGTTCAGGGAAGTAGGAGATCACATCCATAGGAGACAGGGAGAGGCTTTAGTGAGAAAGTGGGGTAGGATGGGGATCTGTGGAAACAGCTGAGGGTGAGTGGCCCTTAGTAATCAGAAGGGTCCCTACCCTATACTTCTGCCCCCTGCTCACTCTCACACCAGGACACCCAGTCCCACCTGGTACGTGGCCAGCCCCAGGAGTCTCTGAGCTGATAGGAACCAAGTGGAGCGGTGCCAGGTACCTTGGTGAGTGTCCAAGCTCCTTGTGAGCACAACTTCCCAATGTCGCAGGTGCTGGCCTTGCCACTGTGGTACGGGTATGAAGCCAAATGCCTGATCCAGGGGCCTGACTGGGAACAGTCTTCCTGGGTCACAGCCCTGCCCGGGAACCCAAGTGTCCTAGAGCCAAGTAAGGGTTTCTGGGCTGCAGGACAGAAAGACATGGAAAGTTGAGGGCACCCAGGAAGGGTTTTAAGGTAGAAGTTCAGTCTATAGCTACCATTATTACCTCCACAGAGCTGCTGGGAAGGTCCTTAAATATTGGCCATCATTTTCCTGCTTAAAAAGTTCCATCAAACTTAGAATCAAATCCAAATGCCTCATCTGACCTACAGGTACTTCACAATTGGACCATTACCTGCCTCTCCTCACCTTACATCCCACTTCCCTCCCCTTTACTCACACCCGCCACACTGGCGTGCCTTCCCTTATTTTGTAGACATGCCCAACTGATTCCTGCCTCAGGGCCTTTGCACTTGCCCATTCTTTTGCCTAAAATGCATCTCCTAAGCCCAGATCACAAATGAATGCCTCTCTTTTTCTGTTTGCTCAAATTTCACCTTTCTCAGTTTCACCCTAATATTGCATCCCCCCTGAAATCTATCCCATCACCCTGTTCCCTTATATTCACAGTACCTATCACTGTTTGTAATTTATTTCAGTTTGTTTGCTGTCTGTCTCCACTTAGCGAGTAAGTTCCATGGGGACAGGGACTGTTTCTCTCATGTTCAATTCCAAATCCCCAGACTGTATAACAGTAACTAACAAAAAAATTTTTTTTAAAGATTTTATTTATTTGACAGAGACAGCGAGAGAGGGAACACAAGCAGAGGGAGTGGGAGAGGGAGAAGCAGGCTTCCCGCTGAGCAGGGAGCTGGATGCGGGGCTCGATCCCAGGACCCCGGGATCATGCCCTGAGCCGAAGGCAGACGCTGAACGACTGAGCCACCCAGGCGCCCCTAACGAATATTTTTGAATAAATGAATGAGTGAAAAGAGGGCAGTCCCATACAAGAGCTTCTTGTGAGTATGATTTCCTGATGTCACAGGTGCTGGCCTTGCCACTGCGCCACCAGTCTCACCTTGGACGCCAGGATTCCTTTCTGTCATCTGTAAAACACAGTGCCTAGGGGACTTCAATTCACCTGCTCCCGGCGCTCTGGGCATAGTGGTTGGAGTTCCTGGAAGCTGAACTCACACTTGTGCTTTCCTCTTCCTCGCCATCCTGGGCCACCTCTTCTCTCCCTCAGTCTCAGCACCCTGGCAGGCAGCAGAGTGACCTGCCTGGACCCGCAGTGTGCCCAGGTGCCAACTCTCTCCCCAGCTGATCCTTTGACTCTAATTTTTAGAGAAGAGCAGGGAAGGCTTAAGATAGCAGTAGCGCTACCCGCTTCGTGATCTGCACGAACAAGAGGGCCACGGCTCAACTCCAGGTCGGTGCCCGGAAGAATTACTCGGTGCTTACTGTGCGCCACGTGTTGGAGCTCCCCTAGGAAGAGCTTTACTTGGGAACGTCCTGTGAATGTCCCAGGAATGAGTTGGGGAGAGCGAACACTCACTGTTCGGGATTGCTGATAATAAATCAGCCAGACAGCTGCTCTGTTCTCACGTACGTCTGGCCCTCGCATGGTCAAACTGACACATTCCCTGAAGGTCTCCAGAAAGCTCTGAAGCCAGATACGGAGCCCCGGGAAGTATAAAGCCTGCCCACCCTTCAGGCTGTTCTTCCCTTGACAACGATGGAGGCCATGAGAAGGCTTGTCCTCTCGGCCGTCTTCACTGTGCCATGTTTGGCGGAGTTGAACTGGACCAAGTCTGAAGGTAAGAACACTGAACCCATTGTTTCCTATCAAAATCGGGAGACCTCCTTTCAAGAGGCCTCTGCCGAAAGTTTTTTAAAGTGTTAATATCTGCTAATGGCCTTAATAAGGGAACATTTATTTATATGCTCTTCATGTGATTTTGAATTAGTACCAAGGTTTTTTTCAGGCCTATATGACGATATACATAAAAATGTAAAAGGATAAAGAATTTTACCTAGTAATTTTACTACTGAGAATTAAATATTTAGGAGATAATTATAAAAGTGCACACAAACACACTGCATTTACATAATTATAAGAAGCAATGTAAATTTCCCTCATTTATTCTGTAAGTTGTAAAGACATACAAAGGTATATACTTTGGCGATTTCTTACAAATCATAAGAAAGGTACCCAGGATCTACTTTAAGAGAAAAAACAACTACCTGAAATTTATTTATGTTTAAAATACATACATTGGAGCATCTTTAAAAAAATCTGGAAGTAGACGAGAAAAAGAAAGGTTCTGGAAGTTTTTACAAGAAGTTTTTAATGGTGATTTTTTTCCCTGGATGGGTGGGATTATACTTTTTTCTTTAATTGTCTTTGCTTTCTGATATTTTTTACTAATAAACATAATAGTAGTTATTGTTAGGGGAAAACAAGAGACTATTGTTATAAGGATGTCACCCATCACAGATAAAAAGGAAAATGAAAAGCTTTTTGTTTCTAAGTGGAGTTAACCATTTGCTGGGTTCCATTGTGAAGTATTTGATTTTCTTGTTCACATTCCGTTACAGCTGCTGCTGCTTCTCCTCCCCCCCTCCTCCTTTTCTTTTAGTAACAGCTTTATTAGGATATAATTCACATACCATAAAATCCACTCTTCTAAAATGTAAAATTTACTGGTTTTTAGTACACCGTTATTTAATTTGAGAACATTTTTATTACCCCCCCCCAAGAGAAACTCCATACCCATTAGCAGTTACTCCCCATTTTTCCCAATGCTCTCAGCCCAAGGCAACTACTAATCTACTTTCTGTCTCTATAGATTTCCCTAATGTGGACATTTCATACAAATGAAATCCTATAACCTGCGGTCTTTCACTCAGCACAGTATTTACAAAGTTCATCCACGCTGTACCATACATCAGTACCCCATTCCTTTTCATTACTG